TGGGTTGGTGAGGGTGGGAAGGTTGAGAAGGAGTTTTGGAAAATGTTTTTCCTTTTCTTGATAAGGAAAATATTTTCCTCCAATTGGAGGAATGAGTTCATAAAGAAAATGTTTTCCAAAATATTTAAGCCAACCAAACATGGAAAAGTTGGAAAACATTTTCCGAAAAATATTTTCCTTCGTACCAAACACATCCTATATGATTAGTTGGAGAGCTCATATATGAGTGCTCTATATTTCGTTTCTTTTTAGTCAAGTCTATCTCATTTCAACACTATGTAATTTGCCTTAAAAAACAAGCTTTTGGTTCTCTAATTTGAACAACCAAATTATTAATAACTGAAACTCAAGTTTTCCCCTTGTTGTAATACATAGAACAAAACTTTTCCCAGTATATATACAGATAACTCTCTAATACTCTTGGCGAATATATCTTTTGTTGGAATGACAATTGACAAGGGTCTACCTTAATTTGGAGAACATATCTCTCTCAATTTATAAAGCAGCAACAACAACAATAATATACCCCGTGTAATCTCATAAAATACGGTTAAGGAAGGTATATAGAATGCATGCATACCTTACCCCGACCTTTGTGAAGGTAGAGAACTGTTTCAGACAGAACTCTGGCTCAAAAAAAATTTACAAAAGGCAAACACAACAAGTAGTAATAACAGCCAGATAAATGAATAAGGTGATAGATAGTCAAAACGAAGAAAACAACTTATAGCAAAAGAAATCTGGAAATAGGAAGCTACTAAGATATGAGATTAATATTAATGCTACCGGCATGCAAAGAAGACATGCATGCCTAACTACCGATAGGAAGCTACGAATTTAACTTAAGAAAAAACAACTAGTCAATAAAGTTCCATTCATATTCTGAATTATAAAGTAGTGCTAAAATTAGCTCAATTTTGTACGCTTCTCCTAACGACGTTAGATTACTATTAATGTTTTTGTTCTTTCCGTGAGGTGCATGGGGGCATAAAGAGAAAGTTAATTTTGCCCACAAATGGAGTGAAAATACTTAGCACTTAATAAATAATAACCAAAATTCATTGACATTATTTTGTGGATTGTGATCTTCCCTTTATGATTTTAATCATGAAATTTAAATTCCAAAATATACTAGCGTCTGTATGTAGAAATTAAGATTATACCAGTTCAATATTTGCTAGCTGGATATATAGGACTATACAATGTAGCATGGTAAAAACTAAAAAAGAAACATTAAAAGGCTGACCTCAAATAAATGCTCAAGTTCACCTAGCAAGCAAAAGAGGTCGAATTACAACCAAAGTAACAATTTAAAATTAGCAACCAATTAGTGGAATTATTACGTGGTTTAGTATATTACTATGCATGCATTAGTAAAGAATCCACTAATTGCTTTTGATATTACTTCTATATCTTAAAGTACGTTAACTTCAATTGATATTATAACTTTGCCATTATATACTTCAATAAGGGCACGTTCTGAAATACAGTTGTTTAAAACATTAATTCGACTTAATCACAAAGTTAATTTAAACAAATACTCCACACCATGACTCATTTTCGTTTGTGCAAAATAAAAATGAAAAAAATTGTAGGACTAATAATCACATGAATTGTATTCACGTGGAGCATTCTAAAGCATTAATATAATATAATTAGCTCCTAATAGGAAAATAAGCAATGATTGTATAATGAGACCCTTTTTAGTCTGCCCCTCCCATTTTCCAAAAGACGTAAGTATATTTGTACTACTAATAGAGCTATATATCTTGTCCATCTTAGCCAATAAACTGACTGATGTATGGAAAGATTTGACTAAAGAAGGACAACTGACACGAATTTATTATATATATACATTGGATGTCGGAGGGATATCAATTATAACCTAGATTATAAAATAACAGTATATATGTGTTGAAAGTTAAGGAGAAAGACAAAATAATTAACATACGTACTAATTAACAGTGATATACAAAAAGTAAGTTTGATAAGTATACGTGGGTGGATAAAGTATGTAATCGGTTGTCTGAAATTAGCGAAATTTGCACAAGCTGGCCGGGAAGTCTATGATCGCTAGATGACTATCCATTCTTTCCGATTAGCTAAAAGTGGAGCAAAAATAACAATCTACATATATTGGTCAAGACAAAATATTTCCTAGGGCTTCTACAATTAATATAATTGACGATTCTTTACGAGGTAATTTTCTTGTTGGAATAAAATCTCATAAAATTACAGTTGTCTTTGCCTGTAGTAATACCCCTTTGCTTCCTCTTGTCACAAGAAACCAGACATATCTTTAATTTTTTCATCATCACATATTTTCTGTTAATATATATGTTCTTGATCGAGTTAAGAAAAGTATTATATATTCTGTTAAAAAAAGAAAGTGGTAATATNTAGCCCTCTTCTCCTCTTTGAAAATGTCACTTGCCTTGCTGTTATATTGTCAATCTTCTTTATCTTGATCTTCTCTCTTGCCATTCTAATTAAATTCACACTACTTAGTTTTCAGTGCAATCACAAGAATAAAAAAAAAAACATAATTTCACACAGTATAGATGATATATACTCCGTAGTTATCTACATCACAAAAATCGACACTATTTTCACATACTCATGATACGAAGTTAGGGTAATATACAAAAGAGAGAGAGAGAAATCTGGATTCAAGAGATGCTAGGTATTTGTGAATTTAGAACAGTGATGTGATACTGAGTAAAATTAAAGAAACCCTAAAAGAGGGAAAGAGTAAAAAAAAAAAAAGAGAGAGAAACCCCAGTTCAGATCCAGTTAGAAAACCTATAAAAATGCACCAATTATTGGGTATGAACGTGCTAGAGTACCTCTCAAGTTACAAATCGATATACTATATGCTTTGGATTGGCGAATCAGCACTGTTCACTTCTTCTTGGAACTGAAAAAACAAAAGAAAATTTTGATGTTTTCAAGAGAGAGATGCTCCTTGTTTCATTTCTTTTTCCTTCCTTCTTCTTCTTACTTAGCTTTGTTGAAGATATTATTCGTTTATATCAGAAAGCTCCACCAATTAAAACTCAGAGAGGCTGAAAAAAGAAATTAAAACCTAGAGAGAGAGAGAAGGTGGGTAGATGCTATGTATGGTAACTTTACAGCTAGTTACATCCAAAAATGTGGTTCAGGAATAGTAAAGTCCACATTTACCTCTTATAGCAAAATGGAACATATACAGTATCACTGTCCTTTACTATTGAAGTCATATATATCCATATCCATATCCACAGGAAGACAGTAAAAAGAGCATAAAATATCTTGTATTTACGAAAGGTCCGAAAAGGCCGCATCCCAATGGATATGATGTAGACAGCCTACTCTAATCAGTGATTGATTTCACGGTTCGGGCCCGTGACTTACAAGTCAAAACCGTTGTTCCAAGGCTCACCTTCATAGACAAATAGTGTTATTTAATACCATATATTTTAGGATATTAATCAATTAAACCTATAATTACCTTTTAAATAACCTAAAGGTATAAATATATTTCTCATTAATTATCAGTGCAGAGATTTTAAATTCTATCCTTTAACCTTAAATTTGCCTGATCATACGCTATATTTTAAGAAAAAATAGTAATAATATGAAATAACATGCACGAGCAAAAAGCCGCTTTATGTGTCTGTTCCATCGTGGACATGTAAATTCGAACTTGGCATAATTATAAAACTACAAAATAAATTAGGAAAGAAAAAAAAAACAAAAAGAGTAAAAGAACGAGGCATAAAAGAAGGAAGAAAAAAAATAAAAAGAAGAGCTACACAGTCAACATTACTGGTACAGTGCCACACAAAAATTTTGGTATAAGTTTCAAGTTTCAACTGCGTAAAATTTTACTTTCCCTCCAATTAAGTAGGCATTTGGACGTAAAAATTACTATAATTTCAGAAAAAGTAGTTTTTGGAATTAAGTTGAAAGATTATATTTGGACACGTATGTCACTTAAAAAAGTATTGCACTTTTGTGAGTGGAGAAATTTTTTTCCAAAAACTTACAATTTTTCATGGACAAACACATTTTTGAAAAAAAAAAACGTCCAAAAAAAAAGGAAAAAAATTTCCTGGACAAACGGGTCCTAATAATTGATCGGTAGCGCATGTTGTCTAAAGATATACAGGAAAAAAACATATACAGGATTTTAATTTTATAAATTTAGGACTCTAATTTCAATTATTAAATTCATCACTTTGTTTTAGTTTTGAGTTCACAGTTCAACATTTTTTGCAATTTAACTGTTTTTTTTATAAAGAGA